TTAAGATCAATTTTAGAAAATATAATAGCACCATGTAATTCATCAAGCATATCATCAAGTCTAGGGATTGGGTGTCTGTACTTGATTGTGATATTGTTAATGGCCCTACAATCACAACACATTCTCCATTTTCCATCTTTCTTGGGCACTAACAATACAGGCACAGCACAGGGACTCAAACTCTTTTGCACCCACCCGTTGTCCAATAATTCTTGAACTTGGTTCTCTATCTCCTTAGTTTCTTGAGGATTTGTCCTATAGGCTGGTCTATTGGGTAGACTAGCCCCAGGCACAAAATCAATTTGACGTTCTATACCCCTAAAAGGAGGAAGGCCCTTTGGACCATCACTAGGGAATATATCATCAAATTTTTTTAATAATTGAGAAACTTGAGGAGGTAAAGAACTAAGCTCAATGCTTAAATGATGACAATGAAGCATATCTCTCCAAAGAAGAATGTAAGAAGGCTTTTCAACAATTAAGATTTGTTTTTAAGTTTCTTGTTGAATTCCTTCTATTGGAGGAGGTTTCTCTTCCTTCTTCTTCTTTAAAGATTTATGCTTCTTTTCCTTTTTTTTTTGTAATCAAGTTTTTTTTTCTTCTTCTCTTTTCATTTTCATTTGTACTTGATCCTCTATCACTTGTGAAGGAGACAAAGGATGAAGTACAAACTTCTTTTCTTTATGGGTGAAAGTGATTTCATTGGTAAGGCCATTATGCATGGTTTTCTTGTGAAATTGCCATGGCCTTCCCAACAAAATATGCCAAGCTTCCATTGGAACTATGTCACAAACCACTTGATCTTCATAGTTACCAATAGAAAACTTGACTTTCACTTGTTTATCAACAATGATATCCCCATCTTCATTAAGCCAATGAAGTTGATATGGTTTCGCATGGGGAATAGGAGTAAGATCAAGCTTCTCCACCAACCTTGTGCTACAACAATTGCAACAAGACCCACTATCCACAATGAGAGAACAAGCATTATCAATAATTTTACACCTTGTGTGAAAAATATTCTCTCTTTGTGAAAGGTGAGACTCATGAGGTTGACTTCCTAGAAACCTTCTAATCATTAGAAGTTGACCATCACAAGGATATGCACTTTCAATTGGATGGTCTTCCTCACTTGTTTCATTATCACTTGAAGTAGTGGGACTAGATTCATCAACACTACTATAAACGTCTTGCCCTCTTAAAATCATCACCTTTTTAGTGGGGCATTGAGAAACTATATGACCTCTCCCAAGACATTTAAAGCATTTGATGTCACTAGTCTTACTACTAGAAGTGACAACATTTTTCTCTTTTTCTTTTTCTTTTTCTTTTTCTAGACCTTTGCCAAATTTCTTAGAGGAATCATATTGACCCTCCTTCTTGTAGTACAATCTCAACTTGAGTTTAGCCTTTTTAATTGTGCCTTTTTAGTTTTTATTCCTTGGCGTCTTGTACTCTTGGTTTGGTTTATTACTGGCTTAGGTGAGGAAAACTTCTAAACACCACACATTCTCTTTGTGGATTGAGTGGAGGGGCTGTCCGAATTGGTGTCCAAGGTGCTTTGGAGGATCAAAAACCACTAAGAGAGCAAACACCAAGGGGAGGACTAACTTGGGTGTTCATTGTGAAGGAAAGCAAGTTGGAGACTTGAAAACTTAATTTTTTCTTCTAAAACTTGTTTTTCTCTTGTGCAATTTTTGGCCACTTGTATTTTTGGCCTTTGTTTTCATTGATTTTGGTTTGTAATTGGCCTCTTTAAACCAAGTAGTTTTTAGCGTAATTCGAGGAGTGCTTGTGAGAGTGGCTTGATTACCACCAAGGTCACTTCAAGCTCCCACCCTAGGGAATCCGACTTGCACATGCTTTAGTTGCTTTCTTTGCATGCTTTAGTGCTTTGGTAGTATAAATGTTTAGGTCTTCTACTTTATTTGTTTTCATTTTAGAAGGCGTCAATTTTCCTACTAGGGGGTCGTGCAAACACACACCTAACTTTAGTACAAAAAATTATTTTGTAAGAAAAGTGTGAGAGGGCTTAGTGATTCCTACTTGATAAGGCTTGGTTTTTAAGTGATTCCTTGTAGTCCACCTCCCTTTGATAGTTCAATTTGTACACTTAGGCCTTTTTATACCAATCTTACACCTTTTAAAACTCTTTGTGAAAACTTTTTATCACTCACTTTTTGTAAAAACCTTTTCAACCTTTTTGAAAAATAACTTTGTGAAAGCCTTTTTGATCAAAGATGAGTGATCACTCTAGTGTCCATGATCATAACTCTTGTAGTACTAGGTCTAGTGTTAGGGATGAACTTAGGCAATTAAAAGAGTACCTAAGAAAAAAAGAAGAGGAAAATATAAAAAAAAAAAAGAGGAAGAGCTTAGAAGAAGAGAAAGAGAAAATGAGAAAAAAAAAATAAGAAATAAAAAGATTTCTTGCTAGGTTAGTGGTGGGAGGAGAGGCTAGTGGTTCAAGACCAAGAGTCTCTTCCCCTAAATCTTGAAGAGGTGAAGGGTTAGGAATATCCTCAATTGTTCATGAGGAGGAAGGGCATCATACCCAAGCTCCAAGTGATATCTTCTATAGTAGTCATCACAATGATGATTACTATCAAAGACCCCAAGGCCCCATAGACATATGGAGTCCTCTAATAAGGAACCTAACATCACTCTTCCCCCATTTCATGGTAAGGATAATGTTGAAAATTATTTAGATTGGGAAATGAAAGTTGAACAACTTTTCTCTTGCCATGGAGTGAGTGAAGATAGGAAGGTTTCTTTAGCAACCCTTAGCTTCCAAGGGCATGCTATGTATTGGTGGACCTTCTTAGAAAAAGAAAGGAGAATAAATCATGAGCCCCCAATCAAATATTGGAATGAGCTCTGTAGTGCCTTAAGAAGGAGACATATTCATCCATACTATGACCGAGAGCTTATGGATAAGCTTCAAAGATTGAAACATGGGTCCTCTAGTGTGGAAGAATATAGGCAATCTATGGAGTTGCTAATGATGAGGGCTGGGATTAGGGAGGAAGAGAGGACCACAATCTCTAGATTTTAAAGTGGTCTAAACCTTGAGATAAGAGACAAAGTTGAACTTTTTCCTTATAGAGATTTGAATGAACTTGTTCAACTTTGCTCAAAAGTAGAGCATCAACTTACAAGAAAATCTTTTTGAAAAGACTCCACTCCCTCTTATCCCAAGAGTTTTAAGAAGGAGGGCCACCCTTCCTAACCTTCTCCCAAGGAAGAAAAAGAAAAATCATCTTTTAAGGCATCTTCCAAAGACACTAAAACAAGTGACATCAAGTGTTTTAATTGTCTTGGCCGTGGGCACATTGCTTCACAATGTCCCACCAAGAAAACCATGCTTTTAAAGGGTCAAGATCACTATAGTAGCCTTGATGAAGCTACTTCCTCATCTTCAAGTGATGAAAAAGAAGTTTTAGAATCCGAGGAAGAAATCTTACCTTGTGAAGGAGACTTATTGTTGGTTAGAAGGCTCCTTAACAATCAATCTAGTGAAATTGACCAATCACAAAGAGAGAAAGAGGAAAGAGGTCTTAGAAAACACTTATTCTCTCATTGTAGATAGTGGGTCAACTTCCAATTGTTGTAGCACTAGATTGGTTGATAAGTTAGCCTTGACTACAAAACCTTTTCCCAACCCTTACAACATGCAATGGATCGATGAGGAAAGAGGTGTTGTAGTTAACCAACAAGCAAGCATACCAATCTCTATTGGCAAGTATAAAGAATAAGTTTTGTGTGACATAGTGCCATTAGAGGTTAGTCATGTCTTGCTTGGGAGGCCATAGAAATTTGAAAAGCAAACAATCAATGATGGCCTCACAAATAAAATAAGTTTCCAACACTTAGGCAAGAAGTTTGTGTGGTGTCCTCTATCACCCTCTCAAGTGAACCAGTACCAACTCAAATTAAAAGCTAAGAAAGATGAAGAAGAGAAAAGCAAAAACAAAAACAAAAACGAAAGAAAAGAAAAAAAGAATTTTTCCTTTGAAGTAAAAAGGCTAGGTTCAAGAGAACCTTAACCTTTGTGCCATCCTCATTCTTTTGGTGGCAAAGAAAGATGGCAATAGAGGATGTGCACCAATTTAGAAAGCCATCATTGAATAAAAGGCGCCCAATCCCTAAGATAGATGATTTAGTGAATGAATTGGATGAGGACAATAACTTTTTCAAAAAATAGTGATACCTCTTTGGCTTTCTCCTTCCCCTATTACTTTCATTCAACAAATTGTGTACTTAAGGATTGCATAGCTAAGTTTTAAGTAATTTCTTTCCCTGATTGTGGTCTCACACCTCTTGAAGGTACCAATGGAATAATTGAGCTTGAAGATTTGTGGTCAAATCCTTCTCAAGAAGGAGGGGATGATGGAGGACCATCCATGGAGCATCATATGGGACCCATCGCTAAGCCAATGGCTAGGAGATTGGAAGAGGATAGGGAAGTCAAAACCCTAGAAGACATGCTTCTCAAGATTAAAATACATTAATCACTCTCCTAAGCTTTGGTAACCTAGAATTTATTTTTATGCCTATATTGCCCTTGTCTTTGATTTTCCATATTTACCCTTGTATTTTGGTGTATTTTAGTCATAAGATTTATTTTCTTTTGTATTTCCCATTTTACCCTTGTATTATGGGGT